TAATTATTTTCAAAATTTGTCATTAAAATTATTAATGAAACTCCATTATTTAAAAAAAAATTGAAAAAGATTCTTCAAAGGAATTTAATTAATAGGTATTTTCAAAAATTTTAATAAAACTCTTTTCTAGAATTCAATTATTTTCGTAAATAATAATTTTCTTCGAAGAAATTCAATTATTCTCAAATTTTTTTGATAAAATTCTTTGCAAGAATTCGATGATTTTCAATACATTAATTTTAAAATTAAAAATATTTAAAAAGTAAAATTTAAAAAAAAGTTAAGAAAATAATTTTGATTCTTCGACTCGGAGTGCTCGATACCTTCATGTTTTATAATAATATTCTTAAAATTTACTGAATTTCAAAAGGTTTAAAATTTGAATGTTTTGAAAAATTTTAATTCCTACAGAAAAATAATAATTAAATATTTAAAGTTAAAAAAGAAGTTATTGTTGTTTTCGAATAATTTTACAATTAAAGAAATTCGTAAATGAATTCGCAATAGAACATTTTTTTAGAGTAAATGAGAAAATTCTTCAGAATCAGGGAAAAGGGAAAATTTTGTCTGGAAATCAGGGAAAAGTCGAAATACAAAATTAAATTTTTTTATCAACCCTGATTTGAGAAAATTAGAAATTTAAAAACAATTGTCTAAATTCACAAAATCTAGAGACAGTGAAAAGAATATTACTCTGGCTTTTCCTTTTTTTATCGGAGTAGAAAGAGAAATTAGAAATTTTTCGCACACACACTAGATTGATGAATGGTAAAAATTGGAGCAAAAATGCTTGCGCGATATGAAATGAAATATATAACCGAAACAGGAAACGGTGGACTAGACATTTTTCCAAGTAAAAATTTTCATACTCGAGTCGAATCGGATGAGATCCGCTCTTGTACATTAGCATCGATATTTATGTGTACACCTGCATCGAGCACGGCTTTCGACCGGATCCTACTTCCCAGTTAGGCAACGAGTTGTCGTCTAAGTTTGGTCATCGCGAACCGTACGACTCCTTACCGACTCCCCTTACACGGGCAACCCCGTCATCGCTCGCACGCTTTTCGCATTCTAAGTACTCATGACACTCTAATGATTTTCCACGCCGACTTTAACGGCCCCAGGTCTCATATATAAACTCCTCTATAGAAAGAGAGAGAAAGATACGCCCTTCTTCAAATCCACACAGTGTTTGTACCCAAAATAGAAAAACATTCACTCGAGGAATTTATATCCAAACCCCCCTCGCTCTTTTTTCCTTTTCTCCTTCAAGAGGGGGAGGAGATTATTATTACTTTATGAACTCTCCTGGACTTCCATTTCGAGCTAAAAGTATCGCCTCGAGATTCGAGAACTAAAACCAGATCGTTGATGACTGTCAAGCACAGGGACCAATATTGAAGCCTCCGAAAAAAAGTAATTGGAATTTTCATCTTTCTCTCTCGAAATTCCATGAATTCGAATTCTCAGCTTTTGGGCTTATCAGGAAAATCTGCAACTTTAGAAGAACAGGGTTACCACAAAAAATTAATTTTCTATTTCCTTCACTTTTCCCTGATTTTCAGACAAAATTTTCACTTTTCCCCTAATCCTCAAAAAAAATTCTGATTAACTCCAAAAATTATTAGATAAAAAATGTTCTATTGGAATCATTTACAAATTTCTTCAAAAGTAAAATTTTTCAAAAACCATCTTCTTTTTGAAATAAATAATTAATCATTATTATTTTTCCATTGGAATTAAAATTCTTCTTTAAAACAATTATTTTTAATAAATTTTTGAAAAAGTTCTTTGGGAATTTTCAAATCCATTTGTTTACAATTCAATTTAACGAAATCTCAATTTATTTGGAAACTTTTCAATTAAATATGTATTAAAAAATAAAAACTTCAGATAATTTCAAAAAACATTAAATTAAACTTTTTGAAAAAAATTAATTCTAATTCGACTCGGAGAAATTGATATCTTCATGTTTTATAAAAGTTTAAATTTGCATTTAATTTTTCAAAAAAATTAAATTATTAACAAAAAGAAAGAATTCAAATTATTTAATTATTTTAAAAAATGTAATAAAATTCGTTGCAGGAATTCAATTATTCTCATAAATAATACAATTCTTTACAGGATTTTAATTATTAAAATCTTTTTTTTTAATTCGTTGCAAGAATTCAATTATTTTCATAAATAATAAAAGTCTTCACAGGATTTCAATTATTTAAGAAAAAATGTAATAAAAATTCTTTGCAAGAAATTAATTATTCTCCGAATAATAAAATTTGCAAAATTTCAATAATTTTGATAAATAATTAAATTTTTCACAAGAATTCAATTCTTTTCATACATAATACAATTCATTACAGGATTTCAATTATTTTCATTTATTCTTTTCAGGATTTCAATTATTTAAAACAAAATTTCATAAAAATCGTTGCACGAATTTAATTATTTTCATAAATAATAAAATTCTTTTCAGGATTTCAATTATTTAAAACAAAATTTCATAAAATTCGTTGCACGAATTTAATTATTTTCATAAATAATAAAATTCTTTACAGGATTTCAATTATTTAAAAAAAATAATAAAAATTTGTTATAAGAATTCAATTATTCTCCTAAATAATAAAATTTTTCACCGGATTTCAATTATTTTTAATACAATTTTAGGTAAATTTTTCGAAAAACATAATTTTTTTCAAAAATATTATTAAAATTCTTGGAAAGAATTTAATTACATATCACTTATTTTCAATACTTTTCGCAAAATTTCCTTGAGAATTTTCAAATTCATTTTTGTATACAATTCAATTTTACAAAATTCAGATTATTCGAAAATTCTTCAATTAAATATTTGGAAAATAAAAAATTGGAATATTTTTAAAATGAATTCAATTAAACTTTTTCAAAAAAATTAATTCTACAGAATTGTCAGTTAAAAGTATGAAAAATTCATATTTTCAAAGATTTTAATTTGAAACCTTGTCAAAATTCAATTACTTCAAAAAATTCACGCTATAATATTTTTAATATTCAATTATTCTCTAAAATTTTAACTGAAATTAATTTTTAAATCAATTTTTATCAGAAAATTCTACGACAATTCAATTATTTAAATTAAAAAATAAATAATAATTTATTGAATAATTGAATTTTTCACAAAATTGAATTCTCATAAAGAATTTTATCAACAAAATTTTTAATAATTGAATTCATTTGACAAATTTTAATAAAATTCTTAAAAATAATAACATTTTTCGAGAAATTGGATAAAAAATAATTGAAATTCTGTGATGAGTTTCATTATTTATGGAAATAATTGAATTCCAAAAAGAATTTTATTATTTATGAAAATAATTCAATTCCTAAAAAGAATATTATTACTTATGAAAATAATTTAGTCCCTATGAAAATTTTATTATTTATAAAAATATTTTAATCACTGCGAAAAAAATTATAAAAAAATTTGTAAATAATTGAATTCCTGTGAAATTTTTATTATTTAGGAAAATAATTAAATGTTTGCGTAGAATTTTATTTCAATTTTTTTGAAATTTTTATAAAAATAGTAAAAATTGAAAAAATCATTGAGAAAAATTTTTGAAAATAAATTGAAATTTTGCCAAGAATTCTACTAAAATTGTTTAAAATAATTGAATTTCTCTAAAGAATTTTAATACTTTTGACAATAATTGAATTTTAGAAATGAATTTTAATAATTATAAAGATAAATAAAAATTTTGACGAGAATTTTTATAAATTTTTTAATATAATTGAAAAATTTCAGCGCAGAATTTTATTACTTTTGAAAATAATTGAATTCCACCAGAAAATTTTATTTTTTATGAAAATAATTGATTTCTAGCTAAGAAATTTATTTAATTTTATTTTATTCATTGAAAACAATTTAATTCTTTCAAAGAAAATTAAAATTCTTTCGAGAAATTTAGTTAAAATTATTGTAGATTAAAAATAATTGAATTCTTATGAAGAATTTTTATTTAAAATTTTTAAAAACAATAGAATTCTTTAGAAGAATTTTATTTAAATTGTATTGAAAATAAATAAATCGCCGTAAAGACTTATATTATTATTATTGAAAATAATTGAATTCTTACGCAGAATTATTTTATTAAAATTTTTGAAAATAATTGAAATTTTGCCAAGAATTTTATCAAGATTTTTTTAAAATATTTGAATTTCTACAAAAAATTTTAATACTTTCGAAAATAATTGAATTACTGCGATGAATGTTGTTATTTATAAAAATAAATGAATTTTGCAAAGTATTTTATTAAAAATTCCTGATAATAATTGAATTTCTAGGAAGAATTTTTTGTTATTTATCAAGATAATTGAATTCATTCGAAGAATTGCGTTAAAACTTTTGAAATTAATTTTTTCCAGTGCTTTTTATAAAAATCCTTGATTTTTCCCTGAATTCCCTTACCAATTGTACTTTCCCTGAAATAAAAAATTGACAAAATTTTTAATTTTTAATTTTTTAATTGACAAAATTGTTACTTCTTTCTATAATCGGAACAAAAAGTAGTTCAATTCTTATTTCGTATTTTAAACTAAAAAATTAAATTAAATTTTAAATTCGTTTTGTTCGAAACAAAAAATAATTAATTTAAAAATTTATTATTAATAAAAAGAAATATTCTATAAAAAATTCATGAAATTTTTTCTTGTTAAATATTTTTTTTAAATAATAATTTTTTAATTAATAATTAATTAATTAATTAATAATAAACTATTAATTCGAACGAGCGAGCTAAGCTGAGCGAAACGAGTGAATAAGAAAGTTGCAAGTGATTCACCATCGAGGGATGAAACGAAACTTGAAAAGCAAAAGAGGAAAAAAAAACTTTCTAAACTCAAAAGCAAAAAAAAAAAAAAAAAGAATCTCAAATAGATGACACTTTGTAAATACAATTTAAGGTTTTGCAATATTTTTTCTCTCTCTTGTTAAGAAATTATAAAATAAATGAGAAACTCGCCTGTGTGGTTCTTTGAGTCTTTCGACACAGGCGATTCCACGTCACTATCGTTATCCCCTTCGCTATCGTTGCCACAGATGTCCGACCTCGGGGAAGCTGTGTCCTCCTAGAACAAATAAAAAAAAGCCTTCTTTAGATGGTCTGGGAAAAGAAAATGACTAAATGCTGTTTGAAAAATGTACTGCTTCTTTTTATAATTATCTCCATTACGTTTCCCAAGACAGTCTTTTATATTAACTATCTACAATTTACGACACATTTTTATATTATATTGAATAAAAAGAATGACTTATTATATAGTGCACAACAAAAAATCACCAAGCAAAACCATATAAAGCAACAAAAAAAAAAAAAAATTACCGATTTCTATCTAAAGCATGCGACGAAAGTAAATAAAAATCTCACCAGAGACAACAAAATTACTTTTTCATTGTTTTCACCAAAAGAAAATTACTGCCAGCAAAATATTCAATTTTGGAAAAAATTATGAATCTAAATTATTTTCCCAAAAAATTCAGTATGCTTGGAGAAAAAATAGGATCGTGTCTCCAATTGAAAAAATTATTACAATTTGGAAATAATTATTTTCAAATTATTTTCGAATTCTTTATTATGTTTCCTTTTGGAAAAAATTATTTTTAAATTCTTTATCATGTTTTATTTTAGAAAAAATTATTTTCTAATTATTTTCCAAAATTCAAGTGTGAAGAAATAAAAAAGATCGTGTCTCGAATTTGAAAAATTGTTTAATTTTGGAAAAAATTATTTTCAAATTATTTTTAAATTGTTTTCACAAAATTCGAGTGTAAAGAATTTATCATCAGGGTTGTCACAAAATATTAATTTGGTTTTTCCCTGATTTTTTCCTGATTTCCAAATAAAAATGTTGACTTTTTTACTGACACTAAAAAATAAATTATGATTCACTCTAAAAATTATTAGATACCTAAGAATTAAAATTTTCGAAAAATTTAAAATTCAAACCTTTTATGAAATTCAACAACTTATAATAATTTTAATTTTCAAAAACTTTTTCAAAAAAAAAAAAAAAAAATTAAATTATTTACAAAAATGTTAATAAAATCCTTCGCAAGAATTCAATTATTTTTACAAATTATAAAATTGTTCACATGAATTCCATTATTTAAAAAAATTGTAATAAAATTCGTTGTGAGAATTCAATTATTTTGATAAATAATAAAATTATTTTTAATACAATTTTAAATAAATTCCTCGAAAAATGTAATTATTTTTGAAAATATTCAATTATTTATCACAATTTTAGTAAACAATTCAATTAATTTCAAAAATTTTAATAAAATTTGCAAAATTTCAATTATTTTGATAAATAATTAAATTCTTCACAAAAATTGAATTATTTGCATAAATAATAAAATTCTTGACAGGATTTCAATTCTTTTCACAAATAATAAGATTCTTTACAATATTTCAATTATTTAAAAAAAAATTTGAAAATAATTCATTGCAAGAATTCAATTATTTTCATAAATAATAAAATTCTTCACAGGATTTTAATTATTTTTAGTACAATTTTAAGTAAATTCTTCGAAAAATCTAATTATTTTCAAAAATATTATTAAAATTCTTCGAAAGAATTCAATAGTCATTTTTTAATACTTTTCGCAAAAGTTCCTTGAGAATTTTCAAATTCATTTGTTTAGAATTCAATTTTACAATATTTCGATTATTCAGAATTTCTACAATTAAATATTTAGAAAATAAACAATTGTAATATTTTCAAAAAGAATTCAATTCAACTTTTTTAAACAAAAAATTTTTATTAGAAAATGCTACGCGAATTTAATTATTCAAATACAAAAATAAATAATTTATTGAAAAATTGTTAAAATTGAACTTTCATAAAAAATTTTATCAACAATTTTTTAAATAATTAAAATTTTTTTGACGAATTTTAATAAAATTCTTAAAAATAATTTCCTTTTTTGAAAAATTAGATTAAAATTGTATTAAAAATAATGGAATCTCTGTAAAAAATTTGATTGAATTGAAAAAAAAATTTGAAAATAATTGAATTTTGGAGAGAAATTTTATTAAAATTTTTGAAAATAATTGAAATTTTCTTAAGAAGTTTATGAAAATTTTTGAAAATAATTGAATTCTTGAGACGAATTTTAATATTTCTTTTTAAATAATTTAATTCGTTTGTAAAAATTTTATTTAAAAATTACAGATATTAAAAATAATTGAATTTTGATAAAGTATTAAAATTAATTAAATTTCTACGAAGAATTTTATTAAAATTATTTTAAAATAAAATTAAATTCGAATAAATAAATTATATCAAAGCTCTTTGAAATGATTGAATTTCTTTGATGAATTTTAATAAAATTTTTAATAATAATTGCGTTTTTTTGAGAAATTTCTTCCAAATTGTATTGCAAATAATTGAAATTCTGCTATGAGTTTTATTATTTATGAAAATAATTGAATTTGTGCGAAGAATTTTATTATTTACAAAAATAATTGAATTTGTACGAAGAAATTTTTTTTTTTACAAAAATAATTGAATTTTTGCGCACAATACAATTATTTATGAAAATAATTTAAATTTTACACATTTTATTCAAATTTTTGAAAATATTTAAGTTTTTAATAAAAATGTGTTGAAAATAATTGAATTGGTACGAAGAATAATTATAAAAAATTTGTAAATAATAGAATTCCTGTAAAATTTTTATTATTTAATTAATTCATTCAAAATCAAATTTCAATTTGGAAAAAAATTATTTTCAAAATTTTTTTTTAGAAATTCGAGTGTATAGAAAGAAAAACATGATGTTTCCAATTTGAAAAAAGTTTAAGTTTGGAAAAAAATTATTTTCAAAAATTCAAGTGTGGAGAAAAAAAAGGAGAAATTTTTTTTGTAAAAAGAAAAAAAATCTCCAATTTGAAAAATTGTTTCAATTTAAAAAAAAAAATATTTTCAAATTGTTTTTATAAATTTGATTGCGAAGAGAAAAAAAATATTTAATTTTGCGGAAAAACTGATATTGAAATGAGTTTTGAAGTGCGAAGGACGAGAAAAGAATTGTGTCGCCAATCGGAAGACACTTGTAAAATTTGGTGTAAATTTAAATTGCTTGAGATGCAGTTGTAAAAATGTTGATCAGCTCGTAAAAGCATTTGTAACCGTTTTGTTTGGAAGTTGTACACTGCAACAGGATAAGCACCTAACTGTAAATCACTTTTAATACCCTACACCTTAAACGGAGAGACAGAGAAGTGTTGAGGGGAATATGTAAGTGACAAATAAAGGTGTAATTCAATATGAACGTGATAAATCATCTTTCGTTCAAAACTATCATGTCGACAATAAATACCTATACACAATATGTATTCAATGATTTCAAAATGTCCACGAGCAACAAAACCGCATACATATATTCAAAGTTGATGTTTGGTGCGAGACGTCAGACGAGACACTAAATAATCAACAATCACTGCGAAGTGCGAGAAAAAGGGCAAAACAACGTGTATATCGTCTCATTTATAATAAAAAAAAAAAACAAAACAAAACAAAAAAACAAAAAGTGAACAAAAGAAAATTAAGACTTTTTTTTCTTTTGGTTTCTTTGGTACTTTACGGACCAACAATGAAAAATTACGGACCATTTGCGGACCAATTATTACTGACAAAAATATAACCAATCCGAGTCAAATAAAAGAACATTTTACTTAAAACTACAAATTAAAAGATGGAAAATTGTAAAAATCATTATCAATTCAATTATTATTTTCAAGTATTTTTAACTAAAATTCAAAAAAATTCATTTAAAAAAAATTAATTAATTTCAAAATCCCATTGTTTTTAAAAAATTCACACTAAATATTGCTTTTAATATTCAATTATTATCTTAAAATTTATCTGAAATTAATTTTTAATTCAATTTTTATTAGAAAATTCTAATATAAAATTCAATTATTTAAATACAAAAAAATTATTTATTGAATAATTGAATATTTCTTAAAATTGATTATTTTTTAACATAATTAAATTTCTGCAAAGGATTTAATTACTCTTAAAAATAATTTAAATTTCCATAAAATTTTTCGAAAAAAAATTAAATTATTTTCAAAATTTAAAAGAAAAATCCTTCGCAACAATTCAATTATTTTTACAGTTAATAAAATTTTTCACATGAATTCAATTATTTAAAAAATTGTAATAAAATTCGTTGTAAGAATTCAATTATTTTGATAAATAATAAAATTATTTTTAATACAATTTTGAATATAAATTCCTCGGAAAATGTAATTGTTTTGAAAATTTTTTGCAAAAATTCAAATAAATTTCACAAATAATGAAATTCATCGCTGAAATTAAAATATTTTCAAAATCTACTATTTTAAAAACATTTCTCAAAAGAATTCAATTTTAAAAAAAAGTAATAAAATTCGTTGCAAGAATTCAATTATTTTCACAAATAATACAATAATTCTTTACATGATTACAATAATTTAGAAAAAAATTTAATAAAATTCTTTTCAAGAATTTAATTATTTTCATAAATAATAAAATTTTTCACGCAGGATTTTAATTGTTTTTAAAACAATTTTAAGTAAATTTTTCAAAAATAGGTATTATTAAAATTTTATTGTTTTTGAACATAATTATATTTCTGCTAAGGAATTTATTACTTTTGAAAATAATTGAATTTCTGCAATAATTTGTAAACTTCTCTAAAATTAAAAATTTTTTTTATGTGCAGTTTTAACTAAAATTCTTCTATAAATACATTATTTTTCATATTTTTTAAAAAATTTCTTTTAAAATTTTCAAATTCATTTGTTTACAATTTAATTTAACAAAATTTCAATTATTCATAAATTCTTCAATTAAATATTAGAAAATAAAAACTTGAAATAATTTTAAAAAAAAATCCGCAATTAAACTTTTTCAAAAAAATCAATTCCACTCAATTGTTAGTTAAAAATATGAAAAATTCAGATTTTCAAAAATTTTAATTTAAAAACTTTTCAAAATTCAATTACTTTTAAAAATTCACGCTCTAATGCTTTTAATATTCAATCATAATATAAAGTTTCAACTGAAATTCATTTTTA